TAACTCTGTTTAGAAAGTGGAGATCAGTTGTTTTTTTTTTAGATCTTAAAAAAAGCCAACAAGAGTTTAATAATATTTTGTATCATCTAAAAGAAAATATGTCTTGCTAATCATACTATGCATTCTGTTTAATTCAGATGTACTGTTTATGTCCAAGGTGCAGATATCTATAATTTCTTAATATAGTTTTTTATTTCTATTTTTACTTTAAAATAATTTTTTTAACCTTAACATGGAATAATACTGAATAAAATTTGTGCCAGTTCTAGTAATTTTTTTTATTCAAAGATTCAACTTTTGAATAAATGTACTTTTCTTTTGAAATTCTAAAATATTATTGTTTTTTTTAAACATTTACTCAGTAACCAAAATAGAACTTTAGAAAGTTTTGTTGACATTTCTGTTTGGTCAGGGTTTAAATGCTTATACATTTTTTTTGTTGTTTTTTTTCCTGCTCAGCTTCCAGGTCACCTTCAGGTGAGGTTACAGAACTGCCAGTACTGGGAGCCCCCACACCCAACTAAAGACCAGACATCGTTTAACTCTTCCATTCTCCTGACCTGGTTGAAGAGAATTCAGTTCAAGTTGGGACAGATTGAAGTCCAGTCCTCAGCAGCCACTCAGATATACATTGTCTAGATGTTGTTGTTCATTGTCAAGTTATACAAAATAGCTTCGACAGAATGTAGTCCATTCATCAACAGCCACTCAGATATGTATACTGTATTGATGCTTATTTGTGACATAAATTATATGCTCTTGGTGAAATAATAATAATCTATGTACATTTATTTAAAACATTTTTGAAGTCTATAACCTCAATTGAAATTATTTGTAGGACTTTCTTTTGGAGCCCCATATCTATAGTCAACTAATTTTTAAAAATTCGATTTAATGCTGTTGAACTCTATACTGTATACCAATAACCAGCTAAAGTAACAAACTCAGTTTAACAGCATTCTGATTCATTTAATAAAATGTTGATATTTCAGTGTCTACTTATGGTCATGAGACTTTTTTGAGAATCTCGCTGTTGAATCTCATTGTCCTTTTTTTTTGTTTGTTTCCTAAAGAGATTTTTATAATTCTGTGATTTTCTGTTCGTCAAGAGTCGCATTGCCTGGTGATTAAAAGAATCTCTATCAAGAACTTTGCCAAGTGATTAAAACTATCAGAACAGTTTCCTGATAAGTAGCCTTCAAAGATAAAATATTTAAAAATGTATGAAACAAAAATATGGAATTGTTTTTCTTTCTACACAGATGCCTTTTAGACATTTACCATTAAATTTATATATATTGATTTAAGAATACAGATCAAGTAGCCTCTAACAGATGCAGATGTTATAATTTATAGAGCCAAAAATCAAATTCACATTATAGATATCCCAAAAAAAAAAAAAAGAAACCTAAATAATGTGCTAATGCTCTACTTTTATGACTTAATGTCATACTAGCATTGCCTGGTAAAGTAAGCTATGTTATGGTAATACATTTTTTGTCTATAACAATTAGGCAACAAGAAAGCATCAGTCAGTTGTTGTTTTTTTTTATTAAAAATTTTAACCGAGCTTTGTAAAATAAGTTGACTCAGGCAATTTTTGTGTGTGATAATATTTAGGAATTTTGTATCAAGTATAGACTCAACAACTAGCAGATCTTTTGTCTGTCCCTGATCACCCTTCTTGGAAATGTGCAATCAACAGATTTACAAATATATATTATCCTGTTCAAGTGATCTGTTTTGTGCCTGTCAGGCTTATACAGCAACAGTAGTACAGTTCAATAGATGGGACACTTTATTGTGCACCACTTTTAAATGTGTATTTATATATTTATAATTATTTCTAGTCTTAAAATGTGTGCAATTTTTAAATTTATTTAAGCATTTTTAATTATTTTTTTTTTTATTTGTAATAAGAAATGTATTCTGTTTCAATAGATATATTTAAGCCACTTTTTGTAGCCAGAATCACATTTTTATTTTGAAGTGTGCTTTGAACCTTTGCCATTGTCATATTCATATATACAGAAGCAGCATTTGTTCTATGAGCCTGTCTAAATTAGTGAAGCCTGCAGATTTAACAAGTTTTCATTTTGCTTTTAATGGCAATACATAAAAATTTCACCTTTACTTGTTATGGACTATTTAGAAGAGACACTTAAGTATTTTTAACTATGTGTCGTTTGTACTATTGTGTTCACATTGCATTAGCACTTAACTAGATATAAATTTTAAATCAGTGCTGATAAAAGTTAGAGTGAATGAGGCGCAAAAAATCTGTCCGAAAATCCAATGCATTCTTTTCTACAAATAAAGTTCTAAATTAAATTAAGGAACATATCTTATTAGTATCATTATGTTTTTCTGTATTGGGATTATTTAGTAATTTTTATAATCACAGTAAAACCGCTAATAAAATACTATATTTAAAGACATTTCAGGAAAGAAGTTTAATAATGTAGCTCTACTATAAAATATTAAACTATGGCATTTAAAAAATCAACTTTCATTTAACAAAAGATAGACTGGCATGTTTCGTTTTTTTTTATAATTTTTTTATTTATGTAATAGTATATTGATAATATAATACATGTAAGTTAATAATTTTTACTCATTTAGTAATATTTAGTTATTTACTTGCATGATTTAGTGTCAATGTAATTTCCTTTTTTTATTTTTGTTATATTTACCTTTGTCACAAATTCTAAACTCTAAGATGTGCTTCATAGAGTTACTATAATATAAAAATAGTTGTTTCCTGTTAGCATAGAATGAGTGCTGACTGAATACATAGTAGGTAACGCTTGGTCCTCTCTTTTTACAATTGAATTTTACGATCATCAATGCCAGCCATTTGCTTCTTTATAGCCAGCCGCCCTTCTGTAAATACTATTAGAATATCCTTTAATTCTAGTCTTAAAATATTTATGTAATGTCATTACAGGGTTGCCACAAAAAAAAAATCCTGGTTAGGGTCTAAAATTCTAATGTAAACCAAAAATAAAGATCATTTCCCAATGTTTATATATTGTTATAGGTGGCTGAGTGATAAAGCACTTTGCTTCCAACACTGTGAGGTCCCAGGTTCAAATATCTGACTGGGATTTTTAGGGCGCTCCTGAGTCCACCCAACTCTAACGGGTTAGCTTCTATACATTCATTCTAAGTGCAGTCTTGAACAATACACAAAACTAGTGTGCACATTCGGTAATATGTGGATGGGGGTGTGCAAACCAGAGTTGTAACATTGTCTACTCTTTGTCCAGACAGGATTTGAAGGTTTGTCATCACAGGTGGAGGTCGATCCATGTGAGCAACAATTGGTTAAGATCATGTACTTGACAGATAGCCATGTTGCTTTCTGTTGGTATTTCGACCAAGGGATGATAAGGCTGTTGCCTTGTCTTTCTTGATGCAGCTTGACTGCAATGGTGGTTCTCTTGTGTTTCTGTTTGAAACTTCATTTTAGGTGTAGCATTCATGGTCATGTTCTACCACTCATCACCTGCCTAGCTCTTTTAATGGAAGAGTCCATGACAGTTTGCAGATGTGATGTTGCTGGCTTCTTGATAGTCATATAACTCCACAGCTTTGGGTGCCATTTTAACATCTCTTCCATTATTTTGCACTTGTGTTATAGCCACACAAGTAAACATGCTTTCCAGAGTCAGCTTTCAGCACTGGTCTTTCATCTGCAGTGTAGGAAAGTGCAAAATGTCTATATTCTTCTTCTACCGAGTTCCCTATTCTGTCGCAGGCAATGTCTAATTCATTTACTCTGTGTTGGCCTTAGTTGGGGCCCATATTCAGTCATGTTGTGAAATCAAAGGTAACGCATCAGAGATGGTCTTCAGGCTCTCATGCTTTGAGTTTTCTTCATAGACAGTGGTGGATAGAGGTCTTTAAGATCCATAGCAACCGGCTTCAACGCAGACCCAACGTTGATCTGTCTGGCTGATTGAGGTGCATCTGTAACTAAACCCTCAGTCAGATTATAGGTTTCTTCTCTCATTGCTTCATCTCTTTCTTTCAAGCTGGTACTTATGAACTACTTAATAATTATTTACTAGAATGGAAACATTATCTTCTTGATACCGCCTAGAAAATGTCTCTCTGGTCTTTGCAACACTGACCTAATTTATCTTTTGACCATTTTCAAACAATGTCATAAGATTTTGTCCTAGGATTTAAAGAAAAATCTTTTTTGCTATCTATAGCTGCAATATATTGTTTTTGTGATAAAACCTCAATTGCATGTTGGTAAGTTTTGTTCCCTTGTATACTACCAGTGGAGACATTGAAAAATTAGAAAAAAATATTGTTTGGTAATTATTTCATAGTCAGCTCTTTTTGCAGGAGTAACATCAGGGTGTAGTCTGAAGTCGGCTATGTGAATGAGTAATTTTGCAAAATTTCAACTGGATCCTAGAATGGGTGTGGGAGAAGGAACATGTTACCAGACAGACAGAGTTGATATAAGCTTTGTAAAAAAAAAAAAAAGACTTAAATGCAGAAATAAACAAAAAAAAACAAACAACATAGCATAATATCTGAGTGAAAATGAAAGCCCACCAATAGGTCTAGATCTAGTGTATCTCATCACGAAAATAATGACTATTATGTAAATCTAAGTTTAAGCTTTAAACTTTAATGGCATTTTTTATTTACTTTGGGTGGTTTAAAAAAAAAAATTTATCAATAATACGAAATCAATTTTTGAAATAATCATGTGGCAACCCTGGGCTTCAATTTAAATAAGTTATTTACAGTTGTGTATTCTTATTGTAATGAAAGTTTTTTTTTTTTTTGTTTTCTTTACTGCTTTGTATTTTGTTTTAATGAAACAGTATTTATGTTTATCTGTGATGTAATTTTTCTAAGGTAAATTATGTTTTATATTTTACCATTGCATTGTGATAGGTATTTGAAATATTTGTGATTGGTCAAAATCTTTCATTAATATACACTCAAAACTTCATGTATCAATTAACTCATTTTTTTTGTGTTTTTTTTAAATATTGTAAATTCAATAATAAAATGCATTCAACATTTATGGCTCTTCCTAACTTTGAAGATTTGAAGCTGTTGCATTTTGGGTTTGTTTAAAAATCGTTTTCAGACTTGACTTTGTAGAGTAGACAAGAAGTGAACATTCTAGTAAACTTGCACATTAAAGACAAGTAGATGTCAGGATATGTCTTATAAACATGTAGTATGAAGATAAGATTTGAAAATATCATCATGGATAATATAGAGTTTAATAAATAAATATATATATATTGTTTGTTTGTTTTTGGTTGTCTTTAAATATTTTTTTTCCAGCTTAATAAACGCTTGCTAAAAATTAAAAAAACTATAATAAATAAAATATATTAGTTTTTTCGTCCCCTTTCAGTATTCCTCTTTCTTGGTTGAGATTGGAGAAAATAAAAAGCAAATTTCATCCTTTGAGAAGAAAGCACAACTTTTTTTTTTTCTTGTTGGGGGGAGGGGGGGGGGGGGGGAGATATGATTCGCTCTTAGTTTTTCTTATAAGGCTTACATTTATAAGTTTGAAAAAATAGGTTGTAAATGTATCCTTTTTAAATCACTTCAGTTGTCTTCTGAGTTACAACAGAGTGAGGCATAACTTTTTGACTTACTCCTCCAGGTTGATGTGGATTATTTCCCCTTCACTTTGTAGAACAAAAAAATAAAGTAGAAGTTTGTTGAGTGAAAAAAAGCTTTTTTTTTGATGTGACAACAATCCATGTAAAAATTAAGTAGATTTTAAAAATGTAAAATAAATATGTTGACTATTTGAAATATTTGAACAAAGATTTATCATTTAAAATAATCATGAAACGAACTATTTATAATAAAGCTACAAATAGTTCTATGCTGGAAATGTAGCATTAAGCTTAGAAAAGAGTATTTTGGGTTTTTAAAGATAATAATCTTTTAAGGGAAAGGGGACACAGAAACAGATATTTAAAAAAAAAACGCTAGGTAAATATAAGATTCGTCTCACATCAGAATTTCAAACCTACCAGACAGTTTAGGTCTCACATCATTTTGACTTTGAGGCCTGGGTGTTATAAAGAGCACATTTGATTTTGAAGTGTCTGCACTGCATTATGGGTATAAAGCTACAGGACATGACAACAATAATTTTTCTGGCCAATGTCAATAGGCTAGTCTATAGCATAGAATCAGCGATTATTTAACAACAGCTGTGTTTCTTTTGGGGGAATCTGTATCATTAAGTAGATGACTTATTAACTAAATCAGTCTCTTTTTTAAGTAAGCTCAAAGTAGGCTACGATCTGCTGATGTTTTGCTGACATGGACTTTCAAATAGAAGAGTTTGAGTAGTGTCAGGACTTTATGTAATATTACATATTTAAATGCCTACGCAATTGAATATAATTTTAATTACAATATGTGTGTATGTTCAAGAATGATTAGGCCTATATTTCTTTTTGCTCTATAATTATACTAATCCCGAAGTTCAGCCTAACAGACACACCATACACACTCAGTTGTACATAAATTTATAAACTTCAGTAGGATGATTTAAAATTAAAGTACCGGGATGACCGATCCAAGCTCGGTTCTATTATGTATTAAATTTATTATTCAATGAAATATGCTTAAAACAAACATGACTAGGTGTCGTTCTGTGGTTTTTAAAATGTATTACTCCATTGTACAATGTTTAGTGCATAATCGAAGAGCAGAACCATGCATTCATAATTTCAAGGTTAGCAGATGCTACAGATTTAAAGGTTATACAAGTTCTTTTTCTTTTAAATTAGGAATTACATTTTGATGACAATAAAAAGTAAAATGAAATAATTCCAACTTCAATTTAAAAAAGCTTTTCGGTCATCATTATTTGTTGAATAATATTAAATTACAGAAGAATTCTTTCTTAACTGACATTAGATGTAACCAAAATATTTAAAAAAAGAGAGCAATTGTACTGTATAAGCTTAAGTGACTTTAATTCAATGGGCAACGGTGAATATATTGCATATAATTATTAATAGAATACTTTTATTTCTACCATTATACTTTCACTTCAGGACATAAACTTGGATAGAAACTTGCTTACTCACATTCAACTCATCTCATTGTGAAACAGACACACTAACAAGACATAGTGTTAACTATGTAGTCATCAATTTATAAAGTACAATTACATTAAAAGCTTTCCTGTAAAAGTCCTAATGATATTTACCCAAATAGAACTACTTTACACAATGTTTAGAATTTAGCCTAATAGTAATAGTGAATACAAGCCTAGAAAATGAACTGAACTTACTCAGCTAAAGAAGTTTATTTATTTTTAAAAGACTTTTCTTTGTTTTACTTAGGCTGGCAATCTACTGGATGGTTTTTTGATCCATTCCTATTACTTTATACAAATAAGTCAATGCATGTCAAGGCCTTTTAAATGAAAATCATAAACAACAATTTTCATGGCTAAGAAGCCAATAGAAAACTATTGTCAGAAAGAGATACATCACATTGTTAAAAATAACAGATAATGAGCAATACATGTAATAGTCATACATAAAACATTTTACCTAAATGTAATGACAATACATTTACTTGGTTACTTCAATGTAATGACCATAGTTAATACTTGATTACCTCAATGTAATTACCATACATAATACTTGGTTACTTAAATGTAAGGACCATATATACTACTTGAATACTTAAATGTAATGACCATACTTACTACTTGGATACTTAAATTTAATGACCATACATAATACTCTGTTACTTAAATATAAGAAAATAAATTTGATACTCAACAACAGTATTAAACAAAAATTACAATACCTAAGAGCTTCCCAGAGAACAAAAATAAATTGATAAACAAAATAGAATGTTGGTACAAAAAAAATCGATTCATAAACAAAATACATTTTGAGCCATTTCACAAGATGACTATTATTAGGCCAGTTTTGATCTATTATGATCTCCATTTGTTGCTATGCATCAATATTGCATAAATGTAATACATATTTTTGCTTTTATCTTATCTAATAAAACAGTTATCTGGTAAATAGATACAAGCACTAAAGAACTCTACTTCTCCTAGATAAAAATTGTAGGGCTAGAGTGGATGATGTGAAAACATTGTAATTTTTATAATAAAGGTATGTAATATCCAAAGAGATAAAACAAAAACAAATGGGTCTGTAGATCTTGCAGTGACACAAATCTTCCCTGAGTCAGTTGAACGATGCTCATAGAGATAGTCTAATGTTGGTAAAAAGCCACGGTGCTAGTCATAGCAATGTCTAATGATGACTTCAGATCTCTGTTTCCCACTACCACTTGATATCCACTACATCAACTCTCTGGTACAAACAGGCTGTAATAGGAATATCCAAATTGATCTTACTTTGTGTTTTTCTTATTATAAAATTGCAAACAATTATTATATGTTTATTTTAAATTACATTCTCAACTTAAAAAAAGGCGTAGTTTTAAATCATTCTGATGATTGACTAACAAATAGTTACGTTTAATGTTGAACAAATTTTAGAATGCAAAGTTTGAACTCTATGATGTTCAAGCAATTCAACAAAGTTTACCATCAAACATAAAGCAAAAACAGTTGGATTACTTCATCCATACCAATTCAGCATTGAATTCTATATAAGTCATCATTATAATGAGTTAATCTCAATTTGAGACTGTGGATATTTTACAATCCACCTTTTTCAAAGAAAGAAAAAGAAAAGAACTGCCAAATTCTTTTCTGCCTAATTCTAGATTCTATTGAAAAGCATTATTTAAAAATAATTATAATAACTATAGGTATATATCTAGTAATGTAGCTAACATTTGTCTCTCCTAATACTAACCTTCTTTTTTTTAGTTCAACACTTCCTTCCACACAACGTTCCGGGTGTAAGTTGCGTTGTCTCAGGGAAGAAGGACTTTCAAACAAATTTTACGTTTCACTCTTGAAAAGGTTACATACAGCATACCATGCATGAAGACTGAGACCGGGAGATCACCTCCAACAAACTGGAATGTTTGACCTTGGGATTTGTGTACTGTCATGACGGAAGCAGGGGTCACGGGAAATTGATGGCACTGCATTGTGCATCCAAGTTTCCCCTTACTGGAATCTAGAGTGATTCTCTGGATGTGAACTTCCTTTCTAAAATGTTGGCCAGTTAGAATCTTGGCAATAATTATGTTGTTGCAAAGTTCAGTGATAATAAGCCTCGTCCCATTGCAGAGTCCTTCTGAAACATCCAAGTTCCTTAGCAACATGATAATTGTGTTGTTTTTTTTAAGTTTTAGTTTGTGTGGAGGTAAATCAGCGATGTCAATAGAGTTTAAAACTTCTGTGGTAAATTGAAGGGAACCTTCTGACACGTCCTTGATTGAGTCAAATCTAAAATAGACTTTTTCATCTCCAGGTAATTTGTCTATAATTTCATAATTTATCACATTAACATCTTTGTTTAAGGGAAACAGAATTGCCCTGTCTTTTATTTTTTCATAACTTTTATCTGCCAAACAATCCCCATAAACTTCGTCAATAATGTTTGTTTTTGAGATGACATCTTGTGGTATAGCTATTTCACCCATATCATTGTTTTTGAGATGACATCTTGTGGTATAGCTATTTCACCCATATCATTTAATGGTAATTCACCTTCTCCAATAATTTGATATGCATGATTTATTGCATCTTCAACTCATTCTATTTCTAGAAGAAAATCCTCAGCCAGATCTGCTTTAAACATTTTCCAAAGTCTTTTTGGATTTTCTGGAGATCCAAAGATTAAAATCTGTGTGAACAGTGTTCTCATTGCTCTGGGCGTTTTTGACATTGCCGATTCCTGCAGATCATCTACTGTTGGTCATCATAGGCAAGCCCTCGAGCCAGACATGCTTGCTTGAACGTGGCAATCCTGATACCACTAAATTTGAAGAATCATTGACGTGATACAGAAGCATCCTAAAATGGTATAATTCTGGCTGAGCAATGAAATTAACGCTGTGGATATGACCAATGACAATGATTTGTCGAAGCCTATCAACCCATTTGCTCTGTCTTCCTATCCATTTAAAATGTTTGGGCATCTGCCAAAAAACGTTGTAAATAATTTCTTCATCCTTTCCAGAAAGACGGTTATCTTCTTCTTGCTTCTTGGTAGAATTGGTTTTGAAATAAGATTCCAATGATGAACCTTTAATGCCAGTATCCGCCAGATCCCCCTGCACATTAACAATGTC